TTCGTAAGACACAGGGATTGACAAGCTGTCAAAGTGTTCGGGTAGACCTTGTCGCTATAAACTCTTGGTCAGTATTATAATGTCTGACTTTTACGATTTCTCCTGTGATTGCGGTCAATGCGAATGGTGTGTACAAAAAGAAGAAGAAGAAATAGAGAGAGAAGCGTTTCGGCAGGACGATTTAAAAGTAATAAGAGCACTCTAGAAACCAAAGTGGATAGACGAAATATGAGTGTTTATTATGAATGATAAACAGTATCACGCAGCTACCCATACCGGTTCTAGGACAATAGAGTACCCACACTCGAAAATTAGAAGGAAAGGTATGAGAGATGTAGGAAGGAAACACAAATTAAAAGAGTTGAATAAATCCTGGTGTAGGGTTAAATTGCGTAGGTTATAGGAGCATGTTTTTTTTTTTCATAATTTGAAAAATAGAGGTCATCTAAGATGGTGTAAAACAATAAAAATAATGAAACCTAAGATGGTGTTTAATCCTCTCTTAGGGAAAATGATTTCAAGATAAAATGAATATTCAAAAAACGTTCATTTTAGAATAAAAGAAAAAAATTGCCGTGACCAGGATTCGAACCTTGGTTATTGCGGTCAATCACACAACCACACCCCTAACTCTCACCCTAAGCCCAATTCCCAATTAAATGCGGCCGGCAGCCGGGCATGGTCTTAAATACACTTAATGCCCGACCGTCAGAAATTTTTTACAGAATTTCTATTGAAAGGTTCTTCCAAACTTCTTAAGAATATTAGATGATTGTCTAGAAATGTCGAGCAATTGCAAAGTGTTATTTGTTTTTATTTTTAGACAAATTCTGCGAGCCTGCGAGGAAGTTCTTGCTAAGTTTTTGGGAATTGTTTAGGCCTGTTAGATTATCTTGAAATCCTTATGCGAGTCTTATGAGCCCTGGTTTGTCATGTGCTACACACCCTGGTTTGTCATGTGCTACACACCCTGGTTTGTCAATGTGCTGCGAGCCCTGGTTTGTCATGTGATGCGAGACTACAAATTTATTTTTACCTTTTGAATGATGTGTCCTTGACCTTTCTACATGTAATATGGCTTAATTCTCGTGACGATAATCGTGTACTCTACCTATTTTAATTATCCCGTAAGTCCAAACATGCCTACCGATAGGGTATTTTTAAAAGAGCGTTTACCACAGGTAACCCTGGCTCACTGTTTGTGTCACGGGGCGAAGTTTAGGTCTGGAAATTTGCTTGAAAATGGATTTAAAAATCAATGAAACTTAACATGCGGTGATTTGTTGTTTTCCTTAATATGTACACAAAGTTTCGGGAAAAATACTGTTCTTCACCTTTCCTTCATAGTAGAGAGACAACGTAGGAGGCTGACGGCAGCGTCGGCGATCGATCGACCCTCAATCCAGCGCATTTTTTTCGCGAAAATCCAATCCAGTCGCCAAATAAACATGCCGGGCTCGTAGAACAATAATAACTCTAAACCGGGAATCCACTAAAGCAGCTCCAGCTTGAAACGCGAAGCCAGCAGGCTCCGTAAAACTTGTACGTTTACCCACTAGAATGGCGGCCCGAAACAGTTAGGATCACAACTAGTCGAATATAATAAGTCCCCGTGGAGTGAGGGGAGTCCCAGATTGTTCAAGGGTAAAACTCACCATCCGACTACACCCTCGGGAATATTGGCCAAAATCCATCTCGGTGTGGGATTGGCTGTTGGGAAAGAATCCATTTTCAAGCAAATTTCCAGACCTAAACTTGGCCCCAATATGTTCTCTCTATTTAACCATGTGTACGTGACACAAACAGTGAGCCTGGATGACCTAGGCGTTTACTTGAAGCTCAAGAGTTAGAGAGAGACTGAGACTTAGAGAGAGAGAGAGAAATAGAGCTAAAAATATTTCAAATAGCTATGACTACTCTAGCCGTGAACAAATGACAAATCCCAACTTGAAGAAACTGAAAAATAAACTTATCCACTCAAACACCAGGTGAAAATTTCAGAACAGTATCCACAAAAACATCTCGTGACTATCAAATTTCTTTGATAGGGTGAAGGTTACGACGTTGCGTGACTGTAAGGGCATTTTCGCATCAAGCCTGTTCAAAAGAAATTACCATTCTTGGGTGAGTGAAGCGAAAAAACACTGCGTCTCAATGGCCTCCTGTCTTAAAGCTTTTTCTCGGAAGAAATTCGTCGATCCAAACACTTTAACATCGACTCAACTCAACCGTTGTCTGTCGATTTTTGACCTGACACTTTTGGGAATTGGAAGCACATTAGGAGCCGGTATTTATGTACTGGCCGGTGATGTCGCACGTAACGACTCCGGACCCAGCATTGTAATTTCATTTTCGATCGCCGCTGTTGCGTCCATTCTTTCCGGCCTGTGCTATGGCGAGTTTGGAGCGCGGGTTCCTAAAGCTGGCTCGGCGTACGTTTACAGTTACGTAACGATAGGCGAGTTGTGTGCTTTCATAATAGGATGGAACTTGCTTTTGGAATATGTCATTGGAACATCATCAGTCGCCAGAGCATGGAGCGAATATTTTGATTCGATCTTTGACGACAGAATTCAGAACTTTACCCTCTCAAAAATCGGAAAAATACACGTCACTGGCCTTGCAGAATACCCGGACTTACTATCCGTCCTGGTAATTCTAATATTGACCGGAGTTTTACTCGTCGGTATAAAGAAAACCTCCTTGTTCAACACCTTGTTCACTGGAATCAATTTATTCATCATCCTATTTATCGTGTGCGTTGGTTTGTATTATGCCGAGGGTAAGAACTGGACAGATGACTTTGTTCCTTATGGAGGGTCCGGGGTCCTTGCCGGAGCTGCGACCTGCTTCTATGCGTTCGTTGGTTTTGACGTGATCGCTACAGCCGGGGAGGAAGCGAGGAATCCTAGCAGAGGAATACCAATTTCTATCGTCTTAGCCCTGAGTAAGTAACCTTACTTTATGCTAAGGTTTCTGGATCTTGCTAAGCAAATGAAGATCACTGTTTATTTTAATTATTATTATTATTTTTTTTTTTCGGAACGATAAAAGAGTTTCAGCAGCTTCACCATATTGCATGTTGCATCTTTAGAGACTTCACAGCTTTAAAAGGTCATCTCGCAGGGTATAACTTGTCACTTAGCAAAATTCTGTTAACCTCGCAATTACCTGGGGCAGCTCATTATGTAGTTGGCTTTGAGAAGGGGAGAGTTGGATGTGGGGTGAGTAGATATTAAATGCCATTACATTTTAGTTTATTTCTGTTTATTTATACAGCATTTCAGTTCTCATCAAATCAATCATTTCCGGTTGGAATAATACTGAAAACAATTTCCGTGACAGTAACTGACCTTGTGACAATTCGAGCAAAGTTCATCAACAGAATCAGTGAGATCGCTTTATAAAACTAGTCATGATGCAAACTCGTGGTAAAAATTTTCAATAAATTTTTTTGAAAATAATTTTCCTCAAAATTTCGCGAGAAAGTCGATGGGTTTGCCCTATCATGACCTAAAAGTTGCGCTGTTATTTTGTATCAAATAGCTAAGAACTGATAAGTACGAAGGTTGAAAACGCGCGTGCATAGCTATCGTTCTTTTCATTAATCTCTTGCTTCACTATTTTGTCGTTACCACCGTCGAGGCTTTTTTTTTCTTTTCCTTTTTTGTCAAAGCCTTTTGAGCCTCTAAAATTGACTCAAAGCAAGTCACTGTCAAAGACAACAGTCCTTTCAATGCTATCCTAACTTTAAGCGTCCATCAGTCTCGGCTTAAAAATTTACTCTATCTCCGGTATTATTCAAATAAATTTCGCTTTCTTTCCCACAGCGTTTTGTTTTCTGGCGTATTTCGGTGTGTCTGCCATACTAACCCTTATGTGGCCCTACAAAAATCTACCCGACGGAGGAGCATTACCGAAGGTGTTCGCACTGAGAGGCGCACCTTGGGCCAAATATGTGATCGCCATCGGCGCCCTCTGTGGACTGACGTCATCTCTACTCGGGGCACTGATACCAATACCTAGAATGCTGTATTCTATGGCGAGCGACGGGGTAATTTTCAAGTAAGATGTTGAATTGAAAATACGTCGTCCATTATTATTATAATTATTATAATTATCGTTATCATTATCATTATCATTATTATTTATATCATTATTATTATTATCATTATTATTGTTATCATTATTATTATCTACGTATGATGCACGATCTTCGCAGTAGAGAGCGCTATTTATGCAATAGCGAAAATCAGACCTGAAAAAAATCAGGCCTGTACGGGATTCGAAGCACTGACCTCTGCGATACTAGTGCAGCGCTCTACCAATTGAGCTAACAAGCCAATTGGGAGCAGGCCGTTAAGTTGATTCGTAATAAACCCGTGATGATAAATCAGATACAATGAATATATGAAGCTCGTATATATGTATATATATATATATATTTTTTTTTGAACTGCGGTATTATATACGTATGATGCACGATCCTCGCAGTAGAGAGCGCTATTTATGCAATAGCGAAAATCAGACCTGAAAAAAATCAGGCCTGTACGGGATTCGAACCACTGACCTCTGCGATACTAGTGCAGCGCTCTACCAATTGAGCTAACAAGCCAACTGGGAGCAGGCCGTTAAGTTGATTCGTAATAAACCCGTGATGATAAATCAGATACAATGAATATATGAAGTTCATATATTTTGAACTGCGGTATTAGATACGTATGATGCACGATCCTCGCAGTAGAGAGCGCTATTTATGCAATAGCGAAAATCAGACCTGAAAAAAATCAGGCCTGTACGGGATTCGAACCACTGACCTCTGCGATACTAGTGCAGCGCTCTACCAATTGAGCTAACAAGCCAACTGGGAGCAGGCCGTTAAGTTGATTCGTAATAAACCCGTGATGATAAATCAGATACAATGAATATATGAAGTTCATATATTTTGAACTGCGGTATTA